AATTCCTTCAGGAGCAAAGGGGCAGCTGGTTCATCAACAGACCTGTTTACTTACCCTGAAAACAGTAACATGCCCTGGATTCATGACTTATTTTCAAAAACACAGCACCCTGAGAGAATAACACTGTCATCTTTTAGTTGGGTTTTACCAATTGCAGATGCATTTGATTGTCATCATGGGGCAGTTGAGAGCTGCAAAACATTACTTGGGATTTTATCAGCCTTGGCAGTATCATCTTCAATGACAGCTTTTTGGTTTGAGAGAGATTAAAAGAATACAAAAGGAAAGTCAGGCGTTTGAAACAGCTTGCCATAAGGGCACTCCACCAGCATCCTAACCAACTGTCAACAAAATTGATCTTCGCTTTTACATGGGTGGGAAATATGGGCAGAAGACTGCAGGCATATCAACCAACTTGAAAGATTTCACAAAAACTATCTTGTAGGTCTCCTGGCAAAACACTGGCAGATTTCACAGCTGTTCAGAGAATGAAAATAACAGATCACGAAGACATTGATTTTGCTAGGTTCATTTCTTGCAATGACCTATATCAATGCTACGCTTGTGGCTAATACTGTAATCCAGGGTTTGTCCTTTTCAGGGTTAGCCATCATCACTGGTTGCTGGTTTACTAACCAGGTGTGATGCTGGGTAGTTTCAGAATAACATGCCATTACTATTATTACCATATATAAAGATTGGTTTGCATTACAGCAAGACTGGAGAGTAGATATGGTTCTAGTAACAAGGCTGTTTCTTAATTGTTTAACAACTACAGCCACATCTACCTTCACCCCAACATATTACTGAAATGCAGAAGCTTGGGTTAACAAGAAGTTTTACTCTAAGCATTTTTGAAATTCCATTGAAATTTCTGGGTTCCAGAATTTTAACAAAACTTTATCTGTCCCACCTGGGAGATCGAAAGCTGAGTAACTTGCAAAAATCATAAGAGGACTTGCACTGACATGATGGGAGAAGGGAGGATTAGTTTTTTCCTCTGTTTTTAATTTGAAGAGTTTTTTTCCTCTTGCAATCTGTGGCAGGGAGCAAATCTCTACTGTGCTATTTTATTTGCTCTTTTGGCCCGCTACATCTTATACCCAATGGGAAATCTTCCTGGAATCAAGGAACTGTAAAGACTACTTTTGGGAATTATCTGAATAAAAATTCAGATAGCTGCTCTGCTTACCTTAGATGGGAACATCATGTTGATTAACTATCTGCATCTGTAATGCACATTATTTGTGTTAGAACTGAGAAACTGAATTTGCGGCACTGTGTTCTGCTGTCTTCTCTGATCACTGCACCCAGTGGGAACAAGATCAAAGGGGAGGAAATAACCTCTGTTTTTTCCCCTCCCAAAAGACTGAATGGAATATTTGGCATCAGGGCCGACCATGTCTTAATATGGAAACCAAAATTGAAGAATAAATTTGTTCTGAGTTAAAATGGCTTGAGATGCCATTAGAAACCTAGTGTCATCTAGTTCTAGGAACAGGAATTTGTGTTCCAAGAATGTCTGGTTCTTATGTAACATCAGATGCTGTCCTTCTTCAACCAGGCCTCATGATAGTGCTTCATCTTCAACGCTGGAAAAATATCTACAAATTCCAGGAAATGTCAGTTTTCTGGAAAAGAAACTTGCTATTTCTGATTTCACCTGCAATGGTCCTAGGACCAAACTTTGCAGTAGTACGTCTGCTGCAGAACTGAAATCTGGTTGCTGATTTACATGTTGCTGTCTTAATATGGATGATTTGCAAACAACTTTACCTGGATGATCTGACTGGCAAACAACTCTCTTTTATTTCTCAACCCTCATTTTTCAGAATAAGATCTCTTCTCAAAATGGTTCTGGTCCAAAGTTTTCTATTATGTTCTCAAACTACTACTTTCAGTCTGAAGCATTCATTTTAGCGTCATAAATTATCTGAAACTGAATGGTGACATTTATCATGTTATCACAAGAATCTCAGTAACTCAATGCATTTGAAATAAAACAGACTGATTTTAATGTGCTCAATACAATGTGTGTTATATTCTTAATGTGTACCACCAGCAACTGACAGTTTAAAAAGAATATAATCATTTAGATTTTTTTTTAAATTAGTTATACAGAAGGCATTCTCCATTCTAAACAAATATATTTGATACTTTAAAATTTAAAACAAACAAAAACAAATCACCTTCCAAATCCTCAAATCTATAATGGTGTTAAGAAATATTAAATATATACAATATATTTGAAAGCAAAAGCATTTTTTTTTAAACAAGTTAAGAAGATCAGTTGTTGACCCAGCTCTAAAATAATCAAAACAAGTTTTCATTTGCAAATAAGGAATGTTGGCATTACACAGAAATAGTTTAGGCCTTTTAGTGCATATTTATAATGTACTCATCTTACAAAAAATATTTAATACCAGCCAACACAGAATTTTGTGGTTAATGTGTATTGAAACTGATGGAACCTAGAAGAAGTTAATTTTTACTAGATTAAAATTTAAATACAGTTTGTAAAGCTGCTCACTAAGAGTACATGGAAAAATGAGCAGTGTACATATCCCTGGCCCTAAAATTCTTTCTTCAAACTTTTTAAAGTGCAAAGATCTATGGCTATAACTAGCAAATATAAAGATTTGGGGAATATTCCCCCTGTCATGCATCCCGAGAAACATGTGGAAGAATTGCTTGAAAGGAGATCATTTAATGAGAAATCAGAACTCAGATTATAACCAGGTCACAGAAAACTGTTGGTGTCTAATGTAATGTGTTTTTTGTTGTTGTTGTTTCAGAGGTATTTATTCAGATGTGGGAACCATCAAGTATCTCAGAAACCCATGGTTTCAGACATCCATGCAGTGTTTAAGCAGCCCAGTTCAAAATGAGACATGGATTCCTCTCCCCTCACCCCCAAATATGTATCTGGAACTTTTTTGCTTCAATATAAGGTAGTCCCCAGAAATAATTGGGGGACATCCTGATATTGAATAATCTTTCAAATCTGCTGGGATGAATGGAAACCAATATAGGGATCCCACATACAATGCTGTTGATAGGATCTTAGTCGTCTCACGCTACTAAGTTATTAAATGAAACATTTTTGAGTATTAGAGCATTAATATTAATTCATACCTCTGTTTGTATACACAGCTTTATATATATTAGAATATACATACCAGGTACCTCATGCCTTATTTATGTGTTGATATAATGTGTTATAGTGAGGGTTTCACTATCCCTAATAGCGCTAGGGATTAACATAGGTTTAGAACAGTGTTGTCCAAACTTGGTCACTTCAAGATGAGTGGACTTCAACTCCCAGAATTCTGGGAG